GATGGGAGTAGAGAATTTACATTTTTAACAAATTTGCAAGTAAGGGCAACTCGGGTCCAGGATCACATGTCAAGAACCTGCAGCCTAATCATTTGTGTTTGATGTGATACTCTGTCCTGAGTGGCTGGGCGACCTGGAAGCCATGCTCTTTCCACGGCAGTATGTTTACCCACTGGCCCTCTCTTTCTATCTTCCACAGAGCCTCGATTGCCAGTTACCTTGGGGTGGGGGTGGGGTGGAGGAGTGGTCAAGGAATACCAGTTGACCATCTGTTGCCATCCCCCTTCTTATGCACATACCACTTCCTTCACCTAATTCACCTAATTCACTCCTTCAAGTCTCCGCTTAAAATGTCATTTTCTCAGAGAGGCCTTCAATAAAATAATTTATCATTGCAAATTTACTCAGGTTTATTTGTCTCATGAATGTCTGCCTTTCAAAACTATAAGGGCCATGAGGATGAGACTCTTTTCATCTTTGTTCTTAGAATAGAATCATGTACCCAGCAGGTGGTACAGTACTTGCCCCTAGGAGGTACTCAACAAAATTACGTAAATGGATAAATGAGTTGAGTAAAGGAAACGTTGAGATCTAGTTCTAGTTCTGCTCTCTTACTAGCTGGATGAAATCAGGTCAGTGCCTTGATATTTCTAAAATCTAAGCCTCTCGTTTGTAAAATATAGATAACAATTTTGAAAGGGTTGTGCTGAGGGTTTTTTTTCTTTCTTTCTTTTTTTTTTTTTTTTTTTTAGCAAGCTCAATATATGAAAGACTTGCTCTAGATATGCACTGTTGGCTCTTAAATCCAGGCGGAGCTCATAGTAGATGTTCAACAATTGGTTGAATTGAATCAGATTTGGCTTGCTTGGATACAGTGATTTTTTTTATGCTCTCCAAGGAACTTCATTTTAACAGTTAATCATTTTAGAACATCAAACACCTCTGTTGTTAATTTCTGCTTATCTCTTAAGGGGCTTGGAAAGATACAATGTAAACTTTCACAGGCATTAATACTTCCTCCATTTGAGGTGCTAAATCAACCTGCACGAATTTTTCAAAGCAGTAGAGGCACATGCCACATTTGTAAAAGAATGACCTGATAGGACTTTATTTTTAAGCTGCATTTCATCTCACAAAGCTCTGTAGGGAGTTGAATAGTGACATTGGGCTTCTCAAACCTATTAGCTAGACATGTGAGTGAGCAAGTAAGCCCATTTATTAACCTCGTTTTTTGAGAGGTCCATACAAATATGGCAGAAGCTGTCAGAGAACAGAAAGGTTAATTAAAACATGGTAGACCCTTCCCTTTAAAAGGCAGTGAACCATTTACTGTTTTTAGTTTACAAACACTCACTCTTAATCGCGAGTGTATGTCAAATTACTTACATGTCAAGGTACACAATTATCATCAGTTCACTCTACATTTTTTTTGTATTTATAACCTAAGCCATTGCCCGTGTCATAGTTCACTTACAAGGAAAGACGTGATTGAGAAGAGGGCAACCCATGGCTCTCCCCCTGCAGAGCTTAAGCAGCTCTCTGCCTTATGTGCTCCACTAAACAATTCACTCAAATGGTAGAAACTTCATTCCTGTAAACAACCTCCCACTGGAGCCATGGTATGTATTCTGTGCAGAGCCAAATTTTCCAGCCTTGCCCTTTCAGAGCTCACCATTTATAAAACAACAAATCTATGCTTGAGAAACAGCCGATTGCCTCTAGATAACATACTTCTCAAGACTGCCAAAGGGGAAAGCAGGTTTGCATTATCCATTGGAAGTTGTGGCCTTAGACCTGATGCTGATGAGTGACTCACATCGCTGCTTCCCTTTGCCCTTAGAAGCCAAACCTCACATTTTTCTGATGACAGGTACAAGGAAACCATTTGGTTCATACTAATGGAAATGTAGTCACTTGTCCAAAAAGTTGGCTCTGAAGACAGAGAAATATTGAGAGATATATTCATAGGACGTACTTCATAGGCTCTCCTGTTGTGTCCAATTTACAAAGTTAGCTGTCAGGTGACAGAGCCGGGGATGCTCTATTGCTAGTTGTGATAACTGCCCCATCTCTTTAAATTAGAATACAGGTAACTCTTGAACCACAAGTTGTTGGTGCTTGTTCTTAATCCAAGAAGGAATAGAACAGATTTTCCAAGAAGGAATAGAACAAATAGACTACCTTTCAAGAGCAAGAGTAAAGTTCAAAGATCCATTCCAATACATAGAGCTAACGAGGTGTTGCGTTCCTGAATCACCCGTGGCTGAATAGCTCAGTTGACTTTGCAGATGTCTTAGAAGAGCAATCCCAGCATCTTGGAACTAAACCATCTCCCTCATTTTACAGAGAAGAAAATGGGAAGCCACAGAGCCTGTGCCTTCCTCCTGGAGGTCAGTGGCTGAGCCCTAACTCAAACCTTGGTTTCTTCCTTTAGAGACATTTTTCACAAAACCACCTTGTTCTGATGAGTGAGGACCAGAAACTGAGGTGCCCTGCTGGGCAACAAAGCAAACCTGGAGTGAATCCCAGCCCCTGTAGTGAAGAAGGGAGCTGAGCTCAGCTTTTCACTGCTGCTGATGCAGGAAGAGAGCTGAAATGCTAACAGTGCCTTGCAAGCCTTTCTTGCTGACTCAGGAAGTTCTTAGCTCAGCCACTTCCAATCGCCCTCCCTCAGGTCCTCTGCATTTTCAAACAAGACCCTTAGGAGCACAGCTACCTCTTTCCTCTTCCATCTGGGAGCGCTTTGAGTGCTATCAAATATTTCATTTATGGAGGATGAAGCACTGAGCATTAACAATTGTCCTTCAGTGTCATGTCCACCCCTCTGTTGTGTTAGTAGTTCTCACTGTGGGAGGCCACAAATCCCCTTGGAAGGGAACCATGGAATATATTGGCATGCACACTTTGGTCAGAAAATGCCCGTACACAAGGCCACATTTAGAGCTGAAGTGGGGGCCATTTGCTGAGGTGGAGAGCACATGCTGGGATGGGCAGCCACACGCCAATGTGGAGAGCCACACATCAGGCTTCTGCCAGGGGACCGCGCACAGGACAGGCCTGTGTTCAGTCTCCTTGGCCCTAATTCTCTGCCCTTTCCTTTTTGTTTTTTAAATATTTTATTTATTTATTTATTTATTTATTTATTTATTTATTTATTTATTTATTTGAGAGAGTGAGAGAAAATATGAATTGGGGAAGAGGCAGAGGGAGAAACAGACTCCCTGCTGAGCAAGGAACCCCACATGGGGCTCACTCTACCCCCAGACCCTGATATCATGACCTGAGCTGAAGGCAGACGTTAACCCACTGAGCCACCCAGGTGCCCTGTCCTTTCTTTTTTGTTGCCCTTTGCTGGTCACCTCTCTTTTCCTCTCTCCTGTGCACCCCTTCCCATTACCCTTCCCACCTTGGATGTGGGGCCACCTCTCCTGGATGCCCTTTTCTCACTTTCCACACTAAGTCCATCCTGTCTTTGCCCAGTGAGCATGCTGAGTTCAATCCTGCCCCATGCTCCCAGAGCTCCACTTATTACTATATTGCCTGTAGGATTAAAAATACATATGAACACATGTGACATAGATAAGAAAAATGCCTTAACCATAATATATCGCCATATGTTATCAGTGGTCAGCTCTGGGACTATGGGAGTATTGGTGATATTTACTTTCTATCTTTTTTTAACCACATTCAATTAAAAAATAAAAAAAAAAAGTAGTGTGCTCCATCACTCCCCTGAAAAAATTACAGAAAATAAATACATAACTCTTTTCTTGAATTCTTTTTACCAAAACTCACTTCATGGTTTCTCAGAAAAAAAAGATATGATGTTTTATTTGGAAGCTATTGGACCATCATGTGGAGACTTATGTTAAAATATGGAGTCCCAGTCATTGAAATTGTTTAGTAATATATTAAAGAAACTTACTTTTTCTCTCTGGTGTAGTTCCTCCCCACTATTTCTCCCATGCCTCCTCTCCTCTCACACCACAGCCACACACAGAACACCTCTCCCTGGCCACCAAATATGTGGAGGATTCCCCCCACCAAGCAATTCTCAGGGACACCAGCTGGGGGTACTACAAATTAACACAATTCTGACACCATCTACCTGACATTGCTCACTCCTCACTCCAGATGCCACAGCTTCTGTCCAATTGGCTACAAATCCAGGGCTCCCATGACTCCATCCTCAAGTTTGTTTGAATTGCTAGAATAGCCCACAGAACTCTGGGAAATACTCATTTAGGTTGAGCAGTTTATTTAAGCATGGGATAAAGGATATAGATAAATAGCCAGATGAAAAGATACTTAAGGAGAGGTCTCAGAAGGTGGGGAGCACCAGAGCTTCTGTCCCCTTGGAGCTGGGGTACATCACTCTCCTGCTGTGGATGTGTTCACCAGCCTGGAAGTTTTCTAAACTCCATACTTTTGGGATTTTCGTGGAGGTTTCCTCATGTAGGAATGATGGATCCTGAACTCCATTTTCAGGCCTTCTCCCTTCTCAAGAGAATGGGGGTGAGGCTGCAAATTCCAAGCTTCTAATTACGGTTTGGTCTTCTAGGAACCATCCAGGGGCCCACCCAGAGTTGCCTTATCAGTATTACCCAGGAAATTATAAGGGTTTCAAGAACTCTGTGCCAGAAACCAGGGGACAGAGAACAATCTATATTTTCTATTACCTTACAAGTAAATACTAAGGAAAATTAAAAATACTTAGTATATTGTGTAAATTTCAATTAAACTGAATGTATACTAAAATGTGCCTGAGACTCATGTCTCATGGAATTCGACACTTTTCTGCATTTTGTAGAAAAGTGTGATAATTTTTCAATATATTCTTTTCCCCAGTATTTTATTATGAAAAATTACAGAAAAATGAAAGAATTGTGTGGGGAGCAATCTACCACTTAAAAGATTCTAAAATGCCTATTCATCTATGTAGACTTTTGTTTATTCATAATTCATCTTTTTGAAAATATACTCTTTTTAAATTCTGTTAGCCTTTGCAGAGATAAGCAGAAACCAGAACTCCTAGACGTGATTTGATAAACATGGAGAATCAAGCAGGATAACTTGACTGGTAAACATCGCTTGAAGATCTTAACTATTTCCTTTGGCTGTAGATTTCAACTGCACAGTTTTTAATGTCTCTCTTTTGCTTTGTCCTGATGTGTTTGGTTTTGCCAAGTCCCTTTGAAATCAGCACCTCATTTTGTTTAATCAAAAAGAAATGATTTATGAAAATAAACAATTTTAATAAATGTTAATAGTCAATATTTTATATGTAATTTAAAAAATAAAAATAAATTGCTGTTTTTATTAAAACAGCAATTGCTGGGGCACCTGGTTCAGTCAGTTAAACATCTGCCTTCAGCTCAGGTCATGAACTCAGGGCCCTGGAATGGAGCCCCACATCAGGCTCCGTTCTTGGTGGGAAGTCTGCTTCTTCCTCTCCCTCTGCCTCTCCCCACTGCTCATGCTCTCTCTCAAATAAATAAATAAATAAATAAATAAATAAATAAATATCTTTAAAAAAATAAAATAGCAATTTTTATCTTACCAGTACTCCTCAGGTTGTGCTTGTGCATGTGTGTGTGTATCTCAGAATCCTTTAAATAATATTCTTGAAGTTTATCCCAAAAACATGAATTTCAACCTTTGTTCCCCTTCTTGCCTCTATGTAACCCACTGTCCACTCATTTTTTTTAATATAGATTATATCATATAATTTCCAACTTGAAACTCATCCATGCCTTCCATCACAATTAAAACCCCAATTTCTGTTAATGGCACAGAAGGTGTCTGCATTCAGATCTCCTCTTCCTCTCTGGCATGACTTGGCCACTTGTTCCCTTGCTCGTTGCACTTCATCTGGCACTCTCGCCTTTTTCTTCAAACACTCAAACCGTGGTCCACCTGCAGGAGTTTTGCACCTGCTGTTTGCACTGCATGAACACTTGTGTGTTGGCCCTTTCATGACATTTAGTTAAATAATCCCTTTTAAGCTAAGCTTTTCCTGATAACCTTTGCCAAAGCATTTTATTTCCTTGGTAATACATCTTTCATAATAATGTATACTTATTTTCATTTTTATTTATGTCTTATCTTATGTCTATTTCCTTTGTAAAGAGACAGAGATTATATTCGCCCGGTTAACTAAAGTAACATCTACATTTAGAAGAGCACCACCTGTGACCTGTGACCTGTGACCACCACTCAGTGAATCTTAGTTGGGAAAACAAGTAAGTTGCAATAGTTGTTAACTTTGGGGTTTGAGTTGTGCAACCTCTTTGAAAACACTTGGTTTATATGTTCTTTTCAGAGATTTCTTCATTCAAGTGGCTTATTTTCTGAAAATTAGCTGGGTTGCTCTTTAAAACACAGATTCCTAGGAATCTGGAGATAGGAGGCTTCAGGAGGGATTCCTGAGCTGAGTTTTTAACAAACTTCTTCAATAATTCTAGTGTGCAGATAGTCTGGTGGCTAACGCACCTTATAACTCATGACTATATGATTTTGGCAAATACAGAATTCAATAAATCAATCCCTAAGATCCTTATTTGGGGGGAAATTTGGGACTTTGGATACCCTGATATCTAATCATGCTTATCAAATATTTGCCCTGAATGTAGAAAGTGGATGAATGCACAAAAAGTGTATTTCTACATGTATACTTTAACAGTGACTACTCAGGCTGCTCCATGCCCTCATTAAAGTACAATGTGTTGGAATCTTCATATTTTATCCCTTTCCATTTAGAAACAATCCTGATAGTAAAGAGAGAGAAATCGTTCTCCTGAATAGGAAATAAAATTATATTCAGCCTAAGTTTAGTCTGGAGTACTGGGCCTGGACTGATTTTTTTTATTATCCACATAATTAAAAGGAAATTGTAATGCCCATTATCCAAAAACTGTTCATATACATTAAGCATAATTTAACAATTATAATATTTGCTTTCCAAATACAGTTTGCTTGGTTTGGGTTAATATGAAAATGATTTATATCTGAATACATAATAAATATACACTGGGTTTTTGGTGGACTATTCTGGGTACCCAGGGGATGCTATTCTGGATTAAGAATTAAATATTAGATCTAGATGGACCTTGAGGACTCATTCTTGTCTAGTTGAATCCATCCATTTCACAAAGTCAAAACCGAGACGCAGAATCAGGGAATGCTTTGCCCACAGGGGCTGTCCTGTGCTTGCAGTGGAAAGAAGCAGATACTTCGATACCAAGCCACGTGCCAGGAGTACATGCTAATGCTGACACTGTGGACAGTGCATTTTCAGTTTGTCTTTGTGTACTCTGGGTTAGCAAGTCGATATTTCAATTTACCCCACACCCTTCTTGTTTCTCGAGTCTTAATGTTACTTGAATTTTTTTTTTTGAACGCTGTATCAATTGTTTTCTTTAGCTCTGCCTTAAACCCAGTAGTCAAAAGAAAATGTTCTTCCACTTACTTAATTGAAAAATTCTACAACATGTACCAGAAGGGATTGAATTCATCTTCAGTTAAAATCTCATTGAAAGCTGCTTGCGTTTTAAACACATGAGCAATTTAGCCTCACCTTAAAGCAGAAACAGTTTTATCAACTCACTCCTTCTTTTTGCTCCTTCAAGTCACTCCATTCCCAAAACTTAGAGTGATTTTATGTGTAATAGCCAAAGAAGGTTTGTGTGTAAGTGAAAATGATAAAATTATTTTGATAGCCATAATAATGCATAATAATCATGTCAATATCATGGTTATCATTGTGATTTACAAAGTTACCAAGTACCCATGGCAACGTGGGAACACATATCATGCTCCCCCCAAATATGATCGACAGGATGCTATGAGCTCATCAGTAACAGTTTGAGTTATGAGATGCAGTTTCATTTTCCAGCCTGTGTTTGAGGATGTGAATATATAATTCCAACACAAACATTCTAAACTTGGGTAGCAGTTTATTTTAGGAAATAGCATGGCAGGCTGCAACTCAAGGTTAATTGCGACAAACAAAAGACAGAGTTTTCAAAAGTAGGGTGCGTACCAGGAATGAGGATGACTAGGTTTTATGTGTCTCTGTGTTAAATTTTAAATATCCTCCAATTCTGTCTTGTTCTTTAATGATTCCTTTCACAAGTCACCAGATGCTTCTCTTGGAGCTTCTGTTGAGTTGTGAGAAGACCAAGTATATATCCCAGTGCTCGAGGTTTTCAAGTCTGAATTTGAATCCCAGCTTCAACAATTCTTAGTTTTGACTCTGAGCAAGTTATTTAACTTACCTAGATCAGAGTTACCTTTATCTGTAAAATAATATTATGTATCTCATTGATCGCTGTTTAGATTAAGTAAAAGAAAGGATATAAATTACTAAGCAGGGAGCCTGGCACAAAATAAGACTTAATAAAGTTGTAATGCTGCAAAACTCCTTGAAGCACCCACTCAATTTGTTATAACGAAAGTTAAGGTCAAAGAGCAGGTTGGCTTGTAACTATACCCATTCTCCTCTTTGGTCAACCAAAGGCCTGAGTCACCAAAGTATTTATATTTTCAATGGGTGAAATCCATGAGGAAATAGCTTTAGGAGATTATCACCCAAAGTAGAAGTTTGTAAAATGATCAGCAAGATTTTCTTGTGGCTTCCTGGAAGTTCTTTAACAATAGGTAACTTTTATTCTTCTATTGAAAACAGGCTTATTGAGCATTTTAGGGTTAGAAGAGATTACATAGTTTCCAAATGGGCAGTATATTTTGGGATTTTGCTAGGTCATTAAGTGGTAGAAATTGTCCATAATTTTCTGAAGACAACAATCTAAAATTGGCTCACATTTGGTGTACTTCTCCAGACATCTTGGCCTACCTGAACTTTCTCTAGAGATTTTGGTTGGAGGAAAATATAAAAATGGTATCACCTTGATTGTAAAGAGTAATTGCTCTCTAGAGTTATTTGGGATGTGTGCGTGTGTGTGTTTAGTGTAGACACAACCAATATAAATATGAGAAAATTTATTAGGTAAAATTACTTGTGGTTAATTCGCAATGGTATTCTAGAATTATAGGCTTAAATTTGAATCTATTATTTGCCAAAGTAGTGAGAAACACATTGTTGGAGGGGTGCCTGGGTGGCCCTTAGTTAGGCATCTGCCTTTGGCTCAGGTTATGATCTCAGAGTCCTCGGATTGAGCCCCACATCAGCTCTCTGGTCAGTGGGGATCCTTCTTCTCCCTCTCTTCCCCACTCATGCTCTCTCTTGCTATCTCTGTCTCTCTCTCTCTCTGTCAAATAAATAAATAAAATCTTTTTTTAAAAAACCCACATTGTTGAGGAAAAAATGTAGGAAGCAAAACCTCAAACATATAGGGCAGGAGGTTCCTCCTCACCTGAAGAGGTTCTAGGAGACCTTGCCTAGCTCCATGTACCTGTCCAGCTGCTACTCACTATTCATTGAGTTCAGGTGTCATCTCTCTGAAGCTTTCCGGAATATTCACTTCACTTCTCACAGAAATTAGTTGTACACATAATTCATTGTTGACACCCTGTTTTTGTAACACTTAATAACATTTGATTGTAGTAATGTGTTTACCAATACTCTCTGTCTAGGCTGTAAGGTCATGAAGGGTAGGGACCAAGTACTTGACACATCAAAGTTGGAAGACATGGAGGTGAGGGCAAGAATAAAAAGCAAGGAAAGAAAGCAAAATGATGACCTCAAGTCTGTGATGATTGGTTTCCATGAAAGGCCAAGGCCACTGGTTATCATTATTTGCAGTCTTCGTGTGAGCAAAACAGAAGTGAAGATGTGGAAAGGTAAATAAATGTCATGCTTTCAGAAACCTGGTAATGTTGGTGAAGGAATTATGGTCCATCAACAAGGTGAAAACAAGATCATCCTGTCTGGATGAATTTGCTTCTGGGTGAGAAACTTTATATGAGCATAATCTTTCAAAATAAATTGATATTGCAAATTTGTCATTAGAAGTTACTAGGACCTCCAATGATAACTATAATAAAATTACCTTCTGAAGTCAGAACACTTTTCTAATTCATCTACCATTATGGTAAAAATACAATAACATTCTATCATGTGCGTAAGTCTGATAATTGGTGATACCATTTAAAAAATAATAGCTTAATTCACAAAAAAAAAGAGTGTGGTCATCACTAAACCCCTTCTTCCTTTTTAAAAATTATATCTGTAAATAAGCATCTCTCTCTCTCTTTTTAAGGAAGAGAGTATGAGCAGGTGTTGGGGATGGAGGGAGAAGGAGAGAATATCAAAAAGGCTCTAAGCCCAGCACAGAATCCAACAGGGGACTTGATCTCGGGACCCTGAGATCGTGACCTGAGCTGAACTCAAGTCAGGCACTTAACCGACTGAGTCACCCAGGTTCTCCAAAGTATCCTTTTCCCCTTCATTTTTTTCCAACTTTCTTTCTTTAAAACTCCAACCTCTTAATGTATATCAGATCATCAGTTTAATCACAGTCACCACATGATGCTCTGTGCATCTTTCCTTGGCTCCATTTTGGCCTTATTCACACCCAACTGGCTCACCTATAGATTTGCCAAATGATTATTTTCTGTAGAATCAAAGACGAATTTTTTTTTAAATCAAGACAAATTTTTTCAAAGAGATAATGAATAATTTTACATTTTAAAAACATTGTGCTATATTTGTTTATTGCTAAAGCATACAGTTCCATCTTTAGTTAATAAATCTCCTCCTTCTCTCTGCTGTTCCCTTTAACATCTCTCTCATACTTCATTTTTTTTATCTGCTCTGCTCTTAAGGAGATTAAAATACCTCAGTATAAATACCCACTGGAAGTAAATATTCCATGGCTTCTATGCTTGACTTGGGAAATTCTGAAAGTTATTTGGAAATGGTTAAGGTATGGAAGGTCCGTTGAGGAAGGAGAATTACCAAAAAAAGCCTGTCTTTTCTCTGAATGCAGCTGGAGGTCACCAGAATAGAGGCCCCTCATGAGAGGTCCTGGGGGATGGAATGGCACTTTTAGAAAATGTGACAAGTCCCATCACCTGGGACTGTGAGGATTTCTCTTTTCATTGTAATTGACAAACACCAGCCATTACAGCCCCCTTCCCCTTCATCAGTCTAATTTCTTTGATCTGGTCCCACCTGCCTTGAAGCCTCATCTGCCTACCCCTCACTGTGGATCTCCAAGCATACCAGACACCTGTCTGCA